CGGTATTGAAGTTGTACAACTTAAAGGAGGGCAATGGATGGTCAGATAAAAGTTTCACATAGTTATTAGCCCTTATGAGAGATATGCTTCCGGAGGATAATGTTCTTCTTAATCGAACCTATGAGGCCAAAAAAATGTTGTGCTTTATTGGCATGAGCTATGATAAGATACATGCTTGTCCAAACGATTTCATTTTGTTTCGAAACGAATATGCATCATTAAATGAGTGCCCTAAATGCAGGTTGTCTCGATATAAGAAAAAATTGTCTCCAGCAAAAGTCTTATGGTATTTTCCTATAATTCAGAGATTTAGGCGCATGTTTCATAGTGAAACCGATGCAAGACACCTGACTTGGCATGTAGATGAAAGAATTATTGATGGAAAATATTGACATCCGCAGATTCACTACAGTGGTCGAAAATTGATAATGATTATCCTAATTTTGGAGAAGAAGCAAGAAACCTTCGCTTGGCTTTATCTACTGATGGAATGAACCCGCATGGTCTTAAAAGTATCTCACATACCACATGGCCTGTGATTCTTATGATTTATAACCTACCTCCATGGCTATGTATGAAGCGTAAGTACATGGTGTTATCTATGTTAATTGCTGGGCCTAAATAACCAGGGAATGACATAGACGTATACTTGACACCTTTGATCGAAGATTTAAAGATTTTGTGGGAGAATGGGATGGAGGTTTATGGTGGATATAGGAAACAAAGTTTCAATTTGAGGGCGACGTTGTTTGGCACAATTAATGATTTTCCAACATACAGGAATCTATCTGGGTATAACATTAAAGGTCAACGTGCGTGTCCTATTTGTGAAGATGGAACCGATACGACGCGTTTGGAACTTTGTCAGAAGAATGTGTTTCTCGATCATCGTAGATTCTTACATTCTAAACATCACTACTATGCCTGGAAAAAAGCATTCAATGGAGACACCGAACAACGTAAAGCTCCACCTGCATTGTCAGGTGACCAAATTTTTGAAAAGATGAAAGATGTGTGTACTCAGTTTGGCAAGCCTTTTGCGCATACGGTTGTCAAAGGTGGATGGAAGAAGAGATCTTTTTTTTTTTGAATTGCCATATTGGAAGTCTCTGTATGTGAGACATTTTCTCGATGTTATGCATATTGAAAAAAATGTATTTGAAAGTGTTATTGGTACGTTACTCAATATTAAAGGAAAGTATAAGGATGACCTTAAAGCAATAGAGGACATGTTAAAGATGGTAATACAAACTGAACTAGGATCCGTGAAGAAAGGAAGCCGAACATATCTACCACCTGCTGCTTTTACTCTATCTAGAAAGGAGAAAAAGATATTGTGTAAGTTTCTAAGTGAAGTTAAAGTTCCAGAAGGATACTCTTTAGATATTAGAAGACTCGTGTCTATGAAATACCTCAAGTTAAAGAGTTTAAAGACACATGATTGCAATGTTATAATGGAGCATTTTCTACCAATATGTATACGTTCTATTTTGCCAGATAAAGTAAGGAGCGAGATAACTAAGTTGTGTTTTTTCTTTAGGTAAATTTGTAGTAAGGTGATTGATCCTGAGATCTTACCAACATTGCAAAAAGAAATTGTTATTACTTTGTGTGAGCTTGAAATGTATTTTCCTCCCTCATTTTTTGACATAATGGTACATCTAGTTATTCATCTTGTGAAATAGACACAATTTTGTGGACTAGCTTATATGAGATGGATGTACCCTGCTGAACGTTATATGAAAGTATTAAAAGGGTACGTAAAAAACCAAAGTCGCCCAGAGGGTTGTATTGTTGAGCGATACATTGTTGAAAAAGCGGTTGAGTTTTGTACTGAATATTTGTCCAAAGTTCAATCCATTGGACTCCCCAAAAGTCATATTTTTGAAAAAAAGGAAGGTAAAAGATTAATTGGAAATAAAATTGTGACAATATCAAAAGATGAACGGGATCAAGTGCATCTGTATGTTCTGCACAATGACAGTGAGGTTGAGCCATATGTTAAAATGCACAAGGATGTACTCCGAGGGTTAAATCAGAATAGAAATGAAAATTAGATAGTACGGGAGCACAATCAAAATTTTATACCATGGTTTAAGGATCATATTTTTTCAAAGCTTCATTCATATCCCGCTTCAATAACAGAAAGGTTGAGATGTTTTGCATATGGTCTAAGTTTGCATGTGTTTTCTTATAGCGCATACGCAATTAATGGATACATATTTTATACCAAAGAACAAGATGATAAAAGTACTATGCAAAATAGTGGTGTCACCGTGCTTGCTGAAGAAATGCACATTTCTAGTATGAAGGACCTAAACCCCAAATATGCAAATCTGTCATATTTTGGGGTTATCGAGCATATTTGGGTGTTTGATTACGAGAAGTTTCAGATTCCTATCTTTGGTTGCAAGTGGGTAACTAGTAGTGGCATACGAATGGATAAGTCAGGATTTTTGCAAGTGGATCTTAATAGGGAGGGGTACAAAGATGAGCCTTTTATTCTAGCCTCTCAAGCTAAACAAGTGTTCTATGTCACTGACCCGACGAGTACAAAATGGCCTATAGTGCTTTTATTTAACAAAGTGGTTGATGATAACGGTGTAGACTAAGGTGATATTGATGATGAGAATGAGTCATGTATTAGACGGAATGAGTTATATATTATAAATGATCAAGATGAGAATATTATAGCGGATGAATCATATATCAGAAATGATCATAATGAGGGAATTTGGATAAATCCATCCGTCCGCATTGTTAAGAAGCAAGTAATTCATGTTCCAACCAAGAAAAGAAGGAGATGTTAGTGAAAGAGGTAGCATATTAAAATGTTTCTGTTTATGTTTGTGTTTACGTTTAAGTTTATGTTTATGTTAATTTTTGGCATTGTCATTTTATATATATTTAAATGACTATGGAATTTTATATTGGGTTTATGTTTATGTTTATTACAGATTAGATGTCCACTAACAAGGATCACCCACGTGATGATTCTGGGCATGATTTAGATAAGTCCGTTAGTAAAACGGAAATGAAATATAGACGAGGAATAAAAATAATGAAGAGAACCATTCGAGATAGAGACCAAGACATAAAGTATGATGTGCATTGGAGTCAAGAAGGCCAACTAATTGAGCCTAACGGTTTAACATTGACGAGTTATCTCGGTTCGATGGTAAGGAGAGAAATTCCAATTACATGTGAAGATTGGAGAGCAGGAGTGTTGGACGACGCTAAAGATAAAATATGGAGTGAGATACAGGTACCATATGTGATGTTATTTGTTTTTAATGACGATTATGTCTTTAAATTACTTATACTAACGCACTTTATGTATGATTTTCGTAGAGGTCGTTCAACATTGAGGATATCAGGAGAGATTATATTCTCAAATTGGCCGGGAAACTACATAAAGGGTTTAGAGATTTCTTGTCAAGCAAGTTTCTTATGGATGGATAAAATTTTTATTGATGCAGAGCTTCCAAAGAAATATGCAGATTTGATTACAGCTGAAGAATGTGAAACTTTTAAGTCCAAAAGAAATACCCAGAAATTTGAGAGTTTAAGTGTCGTAAATCGACAACGAGCATCAAGTCCAGCATATCTATACAGAAAAGGGCGTATGGGATATGCACGCTTACAAAAATATATTGTAAGTATCTATAAATTGCAAATTATCTATAAGCACGCTTATATTTGATCATGTTATTTGGCTTAATGTGTAGCTAACAAAGGAGAATAGTTCTGAAACATCTCTTCCGGAACACATTTTGTGGAAGGAAGCCCGTGTGTGTAAGGATGGAGCTGTTGAAGAAAAAGTTCAACAAATTTTCGAGAGATATGTAAGTATAGCATTATTTATTTAATTACATCATACTTTTATTTATTTAATTACATTACTCTTTTATTAACATATCATTCTTTAATTACAATATTTATATGAATTTCAGGAGACTCTTTCTCAGTCTATACCTCCAGATGAAGATAATGATTGCAGGAGAATACTCTCACGAGCATTAGATATTCGTGAGTATTCTGGTCGGGTGAGGGGTAAGGGATTTGGGATCACTCCAACATCCTTGAAGAAAAAATCAAAGACAAAAGCTCCTAGAAATAAAGAACTTCAGGAAAAGTTGGAAAAGTTACAACAAGAAGTTTATGAGCTGAGAAAGGAAAAAGAAATAGATCAAGCTACAGGTTTTAAAGATACTAGCACTACAAGAAAATTGGCAGATTGCGACAGGTATTTTTGTAGATTACGACGGTTAAAACCGTCGCAATTTGCTTTCCACGACGGTTGCTTTACCGTCGCAGAAGTGTGTGTCCCCAACCTATTTCGCGACGGTTACAAAAACTGTCGTTCAAGTTTACGACGGGTTTGGAGCTGACATAATCAAGTATTGGTGACTGTTTGATACCGTCGTGACTATCTTTTGAGTTTCTTTTAATTATTGATGGCGACGGTTCGATACTGTCGTGAATATCTTTTGAAATTGATTAAATTGTTTATGGCGACGGTTCGATACTGTCATGACTTTTGTTGATTATTTTTAATTGTTGATTACGACGGTTCGGTACTGTCGCCATGACTTTTGTTTATGTCTTGATTTTTTTTTATTTTTCTATTATATATAATTTTTTTTTAAATTATTATCTATGTAAAAAATTATAAATATAGTTTTTTTTTTGTGTTATTTTTTTATTTAAATTATTTCTTCTTTAATATATTTATTTATAGTATTATTTTTTGTTTTATTTTCTATCACTTTGTAATATAGTAAAAATAATTTCAATAAAAAATATTTAACATCAAATAAGCATTATAATATCCAAAAAAATGTGTGTTCCATAATCATGTAAAATGCGAGTTCCATAATCATGTCAAGTAGTACAAAAAACCCAAAATATATCAATTCCTAATCTTATAATAATAAGTATCATTATGCCAAAAATACATGAGAAAGTTCACAATCTAATTATCTCGATCATAGCAAAGTCTAATTTGTCCCCCCTGAAGTTCCATTATCTCCAATACGGTAGCTAGACTCAGATGAACGTCTACCATCAGCGGGTGATTCCAATCCCTTAAAAAATGCACATACAATATTAGTAATATGCATGCATTGCACAGAGGGGAAGAGGAGGCCAACTACAAACCTCTTCATTATCCTCATTCCCATAAAGTTTATATCTAAAGGCCTGACTCAAATTATTAGCTAAAGCTGCAACATCATAGTCCCTGTCATGAATGTCGTCGTCATCGCTATCCCTCATCCTATCTTGTAAAGCAGTCGGGCGTCTGCACAGGAACAGGAAAAATGAAGAGAAAATAAAATGAGACAGAACTCACAATAGAGATCACAAAACTATGTAAAAGGCCCAACCGAAGATTGTGACTTCACTTGAATTTCTAAAACGAAAAAGCTTATGATCCATGTTTATAGTTATTACATCTTTATCATACACTGAAGAATACATACTACATGCATACTCATCATTATCATACCTAATGGCCTCACATCAATTTAGTCAATAAAAAGTAACATTACAATTAAATCTACTCTATATCTCTAATATTGATTAGTGAATATCAAGTCCCCAACCCTTATTGGTCAAATAACCTGGTCACAAGACCAACCATGTAAAGGCGTGGTCTAGCTTTTACAACTATAGTACTGCAACCAATGCAACACTTCAAACAAAGAAGTTACGCATGAGAAGATAAAAAGTCCATCCTCTTTGTTTGACTGTTGCTAGTATGAAACACATAAAAACATCAATGAGATTACAGCAGTAAGTAACAATAGAAATGATAAGAGTACAAAAAGTCATGGATAGACAAATTTTATATGTGAAAATAAGCCTCATTCCTTGATAAAACTGTATGCTTCAATTGAATTTCCAAACAATTAGCAAAGTTTGTGATTCTAAATTTCAGTAGGCGAACACATTTAATAGTCAGAATTTTGTATTTGTCCAATATTGGCAAATGCAAGTAAATTAGCTCAAAACGTGACAACACATTTGTCCAATATTTTTCACATTTGCAAATCATCCTAAAAGGCAACACAACACAATCCAGGTGTCACATTTAGCTAAAACTTGATACATAATCATCAATTATCAAGAATAACAAGTAAAATCAAACCTTAGAAATGGTCAATGCTGGGCTCCATTGTTCTTTTAGAATGTCAAGACAGATGCTTCCATTGCTGTTGATGTTTGGGTGGAATACCTTAGTCCTAAATGCAACCTGCAGTATTAAAATAACTTTAGCATGTTTAGACTATTTAACTAAATACATGGTACAAGATATTTACAAAATTGATTAACAGGAAATAAAACAACATTTATAACTTGTGAACAAATTAAACTGGATAACTAACTGTCAACTGTTGAGGAAAGAAGAAAATGAAAGAGAACAATACGATTTGATGAGGAAAGAAGAAAATGAAAGGCAAAATATAATTGAAATGAAAAGTCATCTAACAGCTTCTCTGTTAGTTTTTCCAACGCCAATAGAAGTTTGTGAATTAGTGACAAATAATCAGATTTATAACCAACCAGAACTAATAACCATGTGATGTTTTCTACCTTCCAATACAGCAAAAGCTAGTAAATATCCATATGCTACAACAAAAGACAAATATAAAAGCGTGTTCGAGGGCAAGAGGCACAAGCAGCACAAGCCCAAAATGTGAAGGTGCAAACTTATTTTGAATTGCGGAGTCTAATCGATATTCTTAGGGGAGCAAATATGCAATATATCTATTCATATTTAATGTGCAATACAAGCTTGGCTTCCTTTAACCTGGCGTTTGCATTTATTCAAAAATAACACACTCACTAGAAACAACAACAAAAATGGTCATGGTCGGATTAACAAATCGTACAAAAAAGAAACAATCATGCTACAGAGTATATATAGACAAGATCTGCCTTGAAGCATTTGAAAAACAAACAAACGAACAAATCACAATAAATTATAAACATCATAAAAACAGACAAAACAAACAAGCAACTAACGTAGAAACAAGTAACGGTTCAATTACCTTTGGTGGCTTGAATGGATAATCCGGCAATGGTGTGAATGAATGTTGAGAATCCATGGATGATAGGGATAGAGGTCATACTCACATGAGATATAGAGAGCATATGAATACTAATTTGGTAACATAATGAAAAGTTTATTGAAAAGATAATGAAATGTGTACATTGTGACCTAATTTATATACTCAATTGTGTACCTAATTGAGTAACTAACAATTAGCTAATTCCTAACTAACTAGCTAAAAGGACTATTTTAACAGCCTCCCTCAAGCTGGTAGGGATGTGAATCACAACCAACTTGAATTACATGAAGCAATCACTAAAATACACAATGGACCTGGAAACATACAAAAAATCAGTACAATAAAGGTGCTTTAAATCTTCTGCTTTTCACCCTCACAATATTGTTTCACCATGAAAGGCTTCCCCGCTATATTGTGATGCTCCAAAAACATAACCATGGCAGGGATAACCCAATATGTAGAAATGTCGAAGAGCTTTGTTCATTAAACATGTAATATTGTTGCACATGAATTTCTTGATGTACCACACTAATTAAATCCATGACAGAAAACTTGAATTGAAATTGAAATTTCTAAGCAATAATCTTGTTCATGCATGAACGTCGACTAGAAACCACCAACTACTTCATCCTGAACAACTCATTAACGGAAAAGAGGATGCAGCTAACAACTTTGCTCGTGGACACAATACCATTGGAAAAGAAACTGTCAATGTATGCTTGGGCCGTATCAGAAAGTTTGTAAATAATTATACTGGTCTCCAAGGCTTTCTGGTTTTCAATATTGTAGGCGGAGGCACTGGTTTTGGTCTTGGTTCCCTTCTGCCGAAACATCTTTTAGTCGATTATGGCGAGAAATCCAAGCCTAGATTCATTTTTTATCTTTCCCCTCAAGTTTCAACCTCTGTTGTTGATCCTTACAATAACATCCTCTCTACTCACTCCCTTCTTGAACATACTGATGTTACGAGACTCTAATCTTCAACTAGGAATTTTAACAAACACCTTGACACCAATGGCAAAAGACACCAGCGTCAACGTGCTACTGGACTCCAATATTCAACTACGCATTTTCACAAACACCTTGACACTAATGGAAAAAGACACCACCGTTAGCCTCTACAATAACACCATCGCCATCATTGATCTAAAGCTCCATCATCTAATGTCAAAGCTCCGACGGGATCAAAAATTGTGATCTAAACAGTAGGATGATCGAAGACTTTAACTTGCATATTAGTGAGAAACATCAAAACACCCCCGGGATCAAACACAGTGATGAAGTCATAGTGGTGATTCAAATACCCAAAATTATTTTCATTTGAGAGTGAAAGAATCAAAATATGAGATTTCATTACCTCCTTTGTGATGACGAGTTTGTGACTTGCTGATTCCAATCTTGATGACATTGAATCTTGTGCGATGAAGAACCTTGCGGAACGATTAGTAGCAGAAAAGGAGATTTTGAAAACCTAACATCAATTCAATATATTCAAACTCAAAATCAATCATCAAAAAGAGCTCAACCATAAGATTCAAGTGAATCTCCAATGCTGAAATCAATGGCAGAGAATGAGAGAGATGAGAACAATGCAAAAAGTGATACATAAAACTTACTGTGTTTGAAGAGATGAACGCAGAGGATGTTAAACTGCTTGCTGTGCGTTTTTTGGTGTGAAGATGAGCGGTTTGAAGAGATTCATTTAGGTGTCAAGGGGTTTCTTTCGGTGTGAAGAAGAACGACATGAACGGCACCGTGAGTAGAAAAAGTGAACGCAGGAGTAGAAAGTGAATTGATGTTTTAGGTATTTTAAGAGCTTTTTAACTTTTTTACGGCGACAGGTGTTTTACCGTCGTGCCCATGAGAATTTTTAAAGGTTTTGGGTGCGACGGTTGTTTTACCGTCGTGAAATGAATTTTAGGACGGATAATTTTACCGTCGTGAAAGGTTTAAGGGTGCGACGGGTGCTTTACCGTCGTGATATGCCTTTTAGGACGGTTAATTTTACCGTCGTGACTAGTTGTTGGTGAAAAATCAATGTTAAAAGTGTTAAATGGGGGCCGACGGTTGTTTTACCGTCGTAATAATAATATTATGATGGTTAATTATACCATCGCAAAATAAATATTAGGGACGGTTGGTGTCAACTGTCGTAAACACTGTCTCTATATGTCAATTACGACAGTTATCACATAACTGTCGCAATTTTTGTGTCGTTAAACACTAATTTTCTTGTAGTGTAGTGACAAAGGTAGTATCAATGGTAACTTTGGACAGAATATTCCCGAGGTAATTATATACCATATTTATTAATTATATAACCATATTTATTAATGGTTATAGGGCATTTCCCGGTGTCAACTCTATTTGCCAGCACCGACTTATTGAATGGTTGGCAAGGGAAAAGTGTATAATACTTCGGGATAAATGCTTCACCATAAACCGCTCCCAGATGGATTTTTGAAAGTATCGGTTGATGTTTTCTTAGAGGGGGGTGTGTTGTTACCATTACCTGACGATGTGGCGGATGCAACATTGGTGGCAGATGCAATAGAATCGTTTGTTGCATGGCCGTCAAGCCTCGTTTGCGTAGATAATGAGGTATGCTTAAAATCATTTACTATTCAAATTTTTAAGGCAATTTTACTTACATTTTGTTTACATGGTAATGTTAGACTCCAACAAAATTCATTCCAAAAGATAAGGGGATTAGGCGGGAGACCGAGTCAATTACATCAATTGAGGTACAACACAATTATATGACATTTATGCTATGAGAAATGATAATTTGTGATTTTATACTTCCCCTAACTAATTATATGATAACTAGATTCATGCTAAAGAGATTGCACAAGTCAGTAGGGGTAAGGCGCCTGAAATTAACAATATTTCCACACAAAAAAAGAATGTTGCTAAGAAGACCGTGGCTAGCAAAAAAACTACTACTCAGTTCAGGTCGTGCCTTTGGACATATTTAGGAATAACAGATATTCTGGATGGTGGTACCCACCTTATACCTATGAGTGCATACATCTTTGGTTTTGAATACCTGAAAGCAATTGGTAGAGAGGATATGGAGCAAGTTTTTAGACATTTGGAATTAGGCCTCAATGTTATTGGTACATACATCAGGTATACTTCGATCAAATTTGTTTAATTAGATGAACAATTTATTTCCTCATTTCAATGAATATAGTATAATGTTAATGATGTTTTAATTTAAGGTTTATGTATGACAACATTGTGCGCCCGCGTGGATTAGAAGCAAGATTTGGCTTCTTAGCTCCCAACACTGTCAATTCAGGGTTAATTGTAACAAGACCAGATGATGTCATAACATATGTACTCGGTTTATTTGTGGCCAGTAAAGATACTGAGAAGTTGTTCTTTTTGCCATATAATACTGGCAACGAGTTAGATTTTCATCCTAACTTGATCTATTATAATTTTCCGTTTTTGGCCATTGCTTAATCTTTGTTTAATATTACAGTGGACACTGGTTATTGGTTGCGATTAATCCTATGAGAGAAACTGTGTATTATCTGAATTCATTATACAATGATTGGTCAACATATCTAGATTTGAAGCAGATGATTGACACGTAAGTTTTTCGCTCCCAAAGAGATATTCAAGTTTATGTTTATGTTTATGTTTATGTTTATGGTCAACATATCTGGATTTGTGTTTATGTTTATGTTTCTATGTGGGATTGTTCTAAACAGTCGTTTATATTTTATTATAGCGTTATACTAGCTTTTCTCTCCCAAAGAGATATTCAAGTGCCAAAAAGTAAAGCCAACAATGTTACATGGATCATAGTGGAAGTATATTTTCATAAAGAGATATTCAGTTTTGATTACATTAGTGATGATACTTCATAAAACAATTTAAGGGGTATATCCTGATATATATTTGTATTTTCTTTCCATGTGTAGTGTCCTCGCCAGCGTAACGATATAGATTGCGGCTATTTCATATTGAGGTTTATGAAAGAAACTATTCTTTTGGATCGATTAGAGATTCCATCCACGGTATGGATTTCTAACTTAGGAATTACATACTATTTTCATATTTTGTGTTTCTCATAAAATGACATATTGTTTTAACTAAATCACATACTATGTTATATTATTATATATGTAGTACTTTGAGGAATTCAATTGTGCACATTACTCAAAAGATCAATTGGATGAACTTATGGAGGAATGGTGTCAATTCATTATCGGGTTGAGAATTTTATAAGCTAAGGTATATTGTCTTATTTTCTTTGATGAGAACTTTCGAGTTTTGAGTATAAATTAAATTCGAATAAAGTGCAACGTTAATATTATCATGTTATGAATTTCGATCATTTGTTTTTTTCCCAGGTTTATAGGTGCATGTGTAGAAGATAGAGCTAAGATATTCATGTTGTTGTTGTTTCATGAGAATTCTCGAAGATAGTAAGATTTAAAGATGTAACATCAATTTTGAATTTTAGGATTTTTAACTTGTAGAATTTTAACTTGTATCATAAATTTTATAGTTGTTGTTGTATATATCATCAATTTATATATATGTGTAATTTTTATATATGCATATTTTATTGGAATGAAGCTACCAAATATGGTGCATAATATGGTGAAAACCTGGTTCAAATATGGTTAAAATTCTGATTAAAATGCATTATATATATTGGACAGTGCTTTTGTAAGTCAAAATAGGTATTTTATTATAAAAAAACATGACCAATAGACAGCGCTTTAAGAGAAAAGCGCTGTAAAAACTAAAAAATAAGCGCTGTCTAAAGTGGGAGAATAGACAACGCTTTTAAAGAAAAGCGTTGTCTAAAACCTGACTTAAAAAATAATAAAGCGTTGTCTAAAGTAAAAATACTGCTAAAGGAATATATAAAAAAACGCTGTCTATTCTAAAACCGCTGTCTAAAGTGGATATAAGAAAGCGCTTTTACATTGAAAAAAAGCGCTGTCTTTTCTTTTAGCAGCGCTGCTTTAGACAGCGCTTTAAAGTGCTGTTAAAAGTCTAAAAAAACACTA